AAAAAAAGAAAAGAAAAAAAAGAGAAGAAATCCCTATCCCTCCCCAGTCCCTCTGTCACAACAGGTGCAATCCCAAAGTCTATAACAAGAATAATTTCAGAGAATTTCACAAGGCAAGCACAGTGTAAAGACATTTAAAATATATGTCACTTTACAAGTCCTTAATTTTAGAAATTGCTCTTAACCAAACTGAAATAGTTTTTTGAGTGGCACTATGCATCCTTGCCACAGATAGTTCCATGTTTGCAATGTCCAGGAAAGAGTACATCCAGTGTGAGCAAGCCAAAGAGTGTGGAGATTGCCAACATAAGGCAAGCATTCTCTTAGCTGCAGTTAATCCAGAGAATAACTTTTTTTTCTGAGAGTATCTTGTAAATTCTTGTAAATATCTTGTAAACTGACATTCCCAGAAGTTTCTGTGCAGCACTTTTTTTTTATAAACAGTTATGTACATTAGGATTTTATATTAAATCTTACATTGTTTATTTAATGTTCATTGCATTATTTTAGTGTCATGCGTGTTACTATGGTGCTGTTGAGTATTTGTGTGAATGGCACTGTGCACCCCTATGGGACCAATTTTCTGCCAAAAGTATTGCAGTCACGGACAAAAAAAATAAATAAATAAAAAATAAGCGTGAAACCAAAATTTTAAAACCCAAGTAAAAATATATTGCACAAAATTAAAAAATGAAAGCAAAGTTTTCAGATTGGTTAACAGTAATGTAATTTTACATTAAAAATATATAGTTATATTTACACTTTTTGAAAGTGAAGTAGTTATCTTGTAAATTATTTTTTTGTATCACATTTTTATTAAGTGTTACAAGAAGTTATTGTACAGAAACATATCAATAAAAGTCAAATGCAACACATTGAACTTTTTCAATTTAAAATGCGATCCCACCCAACTTTTTCAATTTAAAATGCTATCCCACCCACTCACAGCTACCGCAAAAAAAGAAAAGAAAAAAAAGAGAAGAAATCCCTATCCCTCCCCAGTCCCTCTGTCACAACAGGTGCAATCCCAAAGTCTATAACAAGAATAATTTCAGAGAATTTCACAAGGCAAGCACAGTGTAAAGACATTTAAAATGTATATGCCACTTTACAAGTGCTTAATTTTAGAAATTGCTCTTAACCAAACTGAAATCGTTTTTCTCTTAGCTGCAGTTAATCCAGAGAATAACTTTTTTTTTCTGAGAGTATCTTGTAAATTCTTGTAAATGTCTTGTAAACTGACATTCCCAGAAGTTTCTGTGCAGCACTTTTTTTTAATAAACAGTTATGTATATTAGGATTTTATATTAAATCTTACATTGTTTATTTAATGTTTATTGCATTATTTTCATGTCATGCGTGTTACTATGGTGCTGTTGAGTATTTGTGTGAACGACACTGTGCACCCCTATGGGACCAATTTTCTGCCAAAAGTATTGCAGTCACGGACAAAAAAAATAAATAAATAAAAAATAAGCGTGAAACCAAAATTTTAAAACCCAAGTAAAAATATATTGCACAAAATTAAAAAATGAAAGCAAAGTTTTCAGAATAGCAAACAATGGTCACGGATCTAAAAATGATGTGTTAATCAAAAATTTTATAAAGCTTTAAAAAAATATATATATAAGCATGAATCAAAACAATTATAATATTTAATTTAATTGTAATATTTACTTCCTCAGCTTGTGGCAAAGCTGCTTGTAGTGAGATTTAATTCATCAAGTGTTTTTCTGATCACTGGTGGTTGTCAATGTATTATACAAAATGGTTGGTATATTAATATTATATTAGTTAATTAAACACAGGTTTTAACTGTGAATTTAAGTAAATCTGTACAACCTAAAATGTTGTTACCATATTTTTTTTACAGTAATGTTCTGTCTATACTACTAAAGTACATCATAAGACAGACTAGTTTAATCATACTCTTGTTGCATTTCCCTCTGGCTTATTGCAGCATAAGCATATAAATGTTAGAACATTTCATATTCCTTAAACACTTTTACAACCTCCAAAGGAAATATTTAATACTCCATAAAAAAATGTCAACTACATAAGCATAAATTCAATAGATATTGTTGGCTTTACATTTAAAACTAGAATAAAATGACCGATTACATATACTGATATTACTACTAATAGCCTTTAAGAGTGTATAGCTGTAAACAAGCTGTAAAGACTGTGCTGCTAATCTGGAGATGGGGGAAAATGACACCCTAATGTGCTTTTACTTTTAAATTGTAACATATTTATTTATTTTTTAAGTTTAGCATGTGCAGGATGATGATGCATCAGTTAATGTGTTATTAAGGGAAATAAATAGAAACATTTGCTAAATTTATTGTCATTGCACAAATTGTAAAATTATTCAAAGAGGCCACTGCTGGTGTAAGAAGCCCCACTGGCTAAACTTCTACAGAATGCATAAATTGCTTTCTTATTAATATTTATATATAGTTTATATAGTGTTGTTAATGTATAAAACTAAACCAGCTATTCTGTTCAAAACTGTTTTGACAATTTAGAATTGAATAACCGATGACAGACAAAGCAGAATAATAGGTTTATTCTGATTTAAATACAGGCATATGAATATTTACATATTTAATATGCCCATATTTTAATTTCATACTTCAAATTGCATGATTTCACTTAATTATGTCTTAAATATTCAATAACTGTCAAATTTAAAAATGTAATTTAAAAAATATTAACACTAACACTAAATTAAAAATATTTTTATATTAAAAATATTAAGTCTAACACTAGTCTGTGCCAATTATTGGAGGCCCTCTTACCCCAATTGTCTTTTTTATCTTTTAATTTTATCTTTTCACTTCAAAATACAAACTATAATTTTTACTCCACAAATCCCTCATTAATAAATAGACAAAAAAATGTATTAAACACAATACTATGTCATGGATCACTTTTTCCCCCGAGACACAGAATTCCTGAAAACTCACAATGTTGATATTCAGATGAAATGACAAAATTAAAAATAGTGTAGCCATTCATCAAAAGTACTGAGATGAGATTTTGTGCAGTCCGGGGGGCAAATTACCCAGTCTTACCCTACTATTTTTAATCATAGTACTATAATACTTTAATAGGCCACTGTATATTTTAGTGTTGAAAATCTGGTCTACATCACTTTGATTAATCAAATGCAAAAAAAAACAGCAAATATGACAGAAATAGTCTGCTAGTTGACCGCTCAGAATCTCCAGAGCAGAATGACTGCAGTCCATGTTGGTATCATTATCTTATCATATTGTTATTTTGGGTACTTCTTTCCATTGATCAAACTAGTTTATATGTCTGTACTGAGCATATTAAGCCTTATGAGGGCATCTCAACAAAGAACCATTGATTTCCTCCACTCCACTCTTTGTAGAGGAACATTAGTGTTTTGCAAAGCAGCATTTATCAGTTCTGTGAAGGAAACATCATACGAGACTCACAAACAGATTTATGCTGCGGCATGTTTATCCATGTTAATATTGAATCAGGGTCGTAGATCCTAGCACATAGATAAACTTTGATCCTACAAGGGCAGTTAATGTAATGACCGTGCCAGTCAAGTGCTTATGAAGTACAGCCCAATTTCCCAAAGTCCATCCTGGGGATTTTGCCCAGTAACGCATAGTGCCAGTTTAAATGGCTAAGCTGATTGCATTGCTTCAGCTGCTGCCACAGAACAATTAAGGATGTGACATCACGTTGTTACCATTGTTACCATATTTTTTTACAGTAACGTTCTGTCTATACTACTAAAGTACATCATAAGACTAATCATACTAATCATACTCTTGTTGCATTTCCCTCTGGCTTATTGCAGCATAAGCATATAAATGTTAGAACATTTCATATTCCTTAAACACTTTTACAACCTCCAAAGGAAATATTTAATACTCCATAAAACATGTCAACTACATAAGCATAAATTCAATACATATTGTTGGCTTTACATTTAAAACAAGAACAAAATGACCGATTACATATACTGATATTACTACTAATAGCCTTTAAGAGTGTATAGCTGTAAACAAGCTGTAAAGACTGTGCTGCTAACATCTGAAGATGGGGGAAAATGACACCCTAATGTGCTTTAACTTTTAAATTGTAAAACATAACATATTTATTTATTTTTGAAGTTTAGCATGTGCAGGATGATGATGCATCAGTTAATGTGTTATTAAGGGAAATAAATAGAAACATTTGCTAAATTTATTGTCATTGCACAAATTGTAAAATTATTCAAAGAGGCCACTGCTGGTGTAAGAAGCCCCCTGGCTAAACGTCTACAGAATGTATACAATGTTTTTTTTATTAATATTTATATATAGTTTTAAAGTGTTAATGTAAAAAAACTAAACCAGCTATCCTGTTCAAAAACTGTTTTGACAATTTATAAATTAATAACTGATGACAGACAAGGCAGAAATTTATTCTATGACTTATATACAGGCATATGAATATTTACATATTTAATATGCCCATATTTTAATTTCATACTTCAAATTGCATGATTTCACTTAATTATGTCTTAAATATTCAATAACTGTCAAATTTAAAAATGTAATTTAAAAAATATTAACACTAACACTAAATTAAAAATATTTTTATATTAAAAATATTAAGTCTAACACTAGTCTGTGCCAATTATTGGAGGCCCTCTTACCCCAATTGTCTTTTTTATCTTTACTCCACAAATCCCTCATTAATAAATAGACAAAAAAATGTATTAAACACAATACTATGTCATGGATCACACCAGCAGTCTGGTTCCAGATTACAGTCAACCACAACAAACACACCCTCCACTCAATGTGAATGTGAGTGATGATGACAAGAGGTGTGTGTACCTTTCTGTCACATGCTGACTCATTGGTGAACCTAGCCATTTGCATAACAAGGTAAATATTAGCAGAATGAAAGTATAGCGATGATTATTCGTTGCAGACTCGTCTGAAGTCTGTGGAAGAAGTGAAGAATTTTCTTGTTAGGATTTCCAAAATGGGACATAAATTACTCACCTTATTCTTCACCTTAATATGTACATCAGGTAATTATTCAACTGTATTTTCATTTAATATTTTTCGATTCAATTCAGTGTAATATTTTTTTATAAACAACAATGCAGAAAGGAGATTGTTTGTTAATGTAAATTTACCAGTCAGCAATTGTTTGACACAACAGTTAACTTTCAAACTTTTTTTTTAAATTCAGTATCTTCAGAATTTTTCAGATTTTACTTGTAGAAATTATCAGAAATATTGAGTAACAAATAGCTTTTTAAAATTCATTTATTTTGCAAAAACGTTTTTATCAAATATTTGAATATTTGACTACTCACTGTAATTAGTTTTAGATATGTCTACACGAAATGTACATTTGTATATTTGAAGAAATGTATATTTGTGGATACAATGACATTAACACCAGATTGTCAGAATAAATTGCTCAGATTAAATAACATAGAATATTACATAAACCCAGAGAATAAATTACATTAGCAATAATGCTTGATTAGAGGGTGATTTACATAAGAATTACATATTAAATATATGTTGTTCATTGGTAGTACTCAATACTCACTTGATCAGGCGATCACTTTGTTGTGCTGATGAGTCATTTTACAAGCTAGAACATACTAAATATGAAAACTATTTTCTAGTACTTGATGGAAACGAGCAACGAATATGCAAAGGCTACATGTAAATCAGTAGACTTAGATCCATCCATGTTATGCAACAACAATGAAGAGTTGAAAGTTTTCTTTATATATTCAAAATGATACTGAATGCCACTCCTGCCTCTCCTAGGTCTTTATGCAGTGTTCCTGGTTCCATCACAAAACCCTGTGGCTGTCGGGAGCAATGTCACTATAAGTGTGAATGACACCCAACCCATTATAATTGGGCTCTGGTTATTTGAATCTAGTACATTGTTCGCGTGGTACTCAGAGGATGTTTTTACAGGAAGTGGCCACCAAAATGGAACAGAATTTGACATTTCTACATATCAGCTCACCTTACCGTCAGTAACTCTGAAGAATTCTGGCCTGTATGCATTAGATGCATTGAGACCGAAGGCCCGGGCAGTGATTACATTAGATGTTCAGGGTAAGTTGAAAAAAAGATCCTCTTATCCTACACACTGTAAAAATGAAATAGTCACAGAACTTTAAAAACTTCAGTTCATTTAAGTAAATATATTCACAGAATTTGTTAAGTTACTTGACTTAAAATTTCACTGCATCTGCTGCCTTTAAAGATTGGTAAAAAATGAGCCATAGAATTTAGTTTTTAGGTTCACTGAATATAATTATCAATTAATACATAGTAAAAATAATATTTTTTTAACTTGAATGAAATCAATTAATTTAGACGTTATAATAATGTGAAACACTTTAAAAACAAAAATCTTTACAAATAAGATTCCTTGTATTAAATATTTCTTGAGTTCTAGGTAAAATTGTTAAAAAATAATGTACTTTATTTCCTGTCATGATTTCTTTAAGAAACACACATAAAGGATTTTTTAGAATTAAATGCTAATTTAAATGCCATGTTAGGGAGCCCTCATAGGCTCAAGTATTTTCTTGAGGCCTGATAATCTACTGCATGTCCATTGTTTTGTAGACTGTTCCTTCAATATATGTGACCACTGATTCGTTTAACATTAAAAATATTATAAAATAAATCAAGGTAGCAGCTTAGCAAGGATCAGCAAAACCGTAAATTTGACAATAAAATTTGACAAATTCTTAGCTCTTAATGATAAAATAATATATGACCATTGTAAACCAAAACAACAGAAAGAAAAGAAATTTAAATAAAAACCTACAATAATCTTTGGCTATTTTACCAGCATTATCTACTGGATCTCAGAATGATTTGCTTTACATTGTTTTATATGAGGGCGATTTCAAAACAAACATTTAAACACACAATTCAAATTTTAGCTGCTTACATACTTGGTTTCAAACAGCAAACATTACACTCCCTGAACAAAATCTAACATTATAACCTAATATTTGCCATGTGATTATTTAATGCTCTTTGAATAAAAAAAAAAAACCTGTTTATAAAATTAAATAGGCTACAAAGGATAGCAGCGTTATGTTTGCTGACAGCAATGGTTTTTGTGTACTCTGCAGTGAACAAGTCCAAATACTTACACAGTGAACTAGATGCTTTAGTTGAGGGGATGCTAATGGCTTTTAAAAACTGATGAAACACGTAAAGTACTTTCAACTTTTACACTAAAACATTTTCTGTTAACTTGCAGAACCTGTCAGTAATTTAACTGCATTTGTAAGCATGACAAACCTGGTGGAGTTAAACGACACCGTGACGTTCACATGCTCCGCCAGCGGAACGCCACTGTGGTTTTCATGGCAGAACGGAAACTCTACGGTCACAGCAGGAGGAAGAGTTGAGCTCAGGAACGGTGGACGAGATTTCATCATCAATGGTGTGACGCGGTACGACGAAGGGCCGTTCAAGTGTCTTGTGGCAAACAATATCAGCAAAAGAGAGAGCCATCAAATGAATCTCAATATAAGCTGTGAGTATGACAGAACACGATGTTGACAACAGGATCCCTTTAAAGGGTGTGGTAAGGGATGGGCAGCTAACAATAACTGAGTGCCTAATTCATGTTTCAAAAGGTCATCTGAATTGGTTTTATGTGTTTAGATGGGCCCAGTAACCTGAGAGTGACAGCATCGCCAGAGAAATCGGTATACATTTCTGGTTCGGTCATTTCTCTATCATGCTCTGCTGACTCCAAACCGACAGCTACTTTCTACTGGATGTACAACGGCAATCCTCTGAATGTCTATGGCCCGAGTTATGATCTTAGAGACACAACTCAGAACAGAACGGGAGAATACACCTGCGTTGCCCAAAATGCAGTCACACTCAGACATGTTGCAGTGACAAAAAAGATTGATATACTTGGTGAGAACACACACAAAATATTTTTCTAAATTTCTAATGATTATTCTTGTGATCTTGTTTATCTCCAATACATTTTTTCTTTATTTAGATCCAATTTCAGCAGTGGTAGTGAATCCAGCAGGCTCTCCAGTAGAAGGCATGGCTTTTAATCTGAACTGTAATGTTGTGGGGCCAGTGAACTCCATTCATTGGATGAAGAATGGCATATACCTGGATGCCGACAATATGATCACTTTCTCCAATGACAACTCAACCTTGAGATTTAACCGACTCACTCTTAGTGATGACGGACCGTACCAGTGTGTAGCTAGTAATGCTGTCAGCAACATGACTAGCCTGGCCTACAATCTTATGGTTAACTGTGAGTATGACAGATATTTCCAGGACATCCATGTTTCCTGTTATTGTATAGATTAGGATGGGGTAAGATGTCCTCCCACCTTAAATTTTTCTCTTGACTATAGATAAATGGTCATGAAATCTCAACTCATTTATTGAATAGTTATGCTTTTATTAATCTCTGCTTGTGCTCTGAACATCATTATTGAGGTTAAATGATCTTTAATTGACATTAGATAATAGTGATCTGTGAATTTTATATTGATACATTTATTTATAATTATTATTTATGAATAATTTACTTAGATGTGCATTTCTAACATCTATTAATCTATAACATTATTCATCATAACCTATAGGCCAATTGAGTTGAATCATTTAATTTGAATCCATAGTATTTTATAACAAAGTTTGTAATTCATACTCTAAATGGGACTCTGTTATTTGATTTTGTCTGTCGGGTTTTCAGTTATTGAACTAAAATATGTACATGTACATAAAATATTTGATTTAGTATTTTACATTAATGACATTTAAAAATATTTAAATATATATATATATATATATATATACTTTGGGAATCTTCTTGCCCCAGGTTGGGGATCATCTTACCCCAGTAGTGCAGCAAGATACCACTCTTTAGCTAGACAGCTGAACTAAGCAAATGTTTTCATTTATTTTCTCTAATCATATACCTACCGATATCCTGTAAATGCATCTTCCACCATCTCACTATATATGAATTCAAAACGTTGGTCAAATATGTTTGCATTTCATTGTCAGTTGTCTTGTAATGTAAAGATAAAAAAATAGTGCACCAGTTTAACATGAAAGAGATGATTAAAACAGTTAATGCATTTGCTAGATGGCCCAAACAACACAGCAGCCTCTGGTTCAAAAGTAGCAGCAGTGGGATCCAACGCAACCTTCAGCTGTTCCTCTGACTCTCGTCCTCAAAGTCAATACAGCTGGTATTTCAGTGGCTTAAATGTGAAAAATGGTTCAGTGTATGTGACTACACCTCTCTCAAAAAACGATAGCGGACAGTACACCTGCATGGCCTTCAATAGCATTACAGGCAGAAGCGGCAATGCCTCAGTGACATTAACTGTATATGGTGAGTCATTCACTTCAGTACTTTGCTTAAATTAAACATGCAAGTGTGTTTGTTCTAAAGTGTGAAAATGTTTAACATCCTGGTTTTTAAAATCTGAATTGGTTGTGAATGTGGTTCATATTTTTTTTGTATGAAATTTAGCTCCTGTCATCGATGTTGTGGTGAATATGGACAATCAGCAACCAATCTTCAATCAGCCATTCACACTAACCTGCACTGTCAGTGGGGATGTTCAACACATTCAGTGGATGAAGAACGGCGTGAACCTTAACCACGACAATAGGATCAATTTCACCAATAACGACTCAGTTTTGAACTTCAACCCACTCACTCTAAGTGATAATGGACAGTATCAGTGTGAAGCTAGTAATGCTATCAACAACAGGACCAGTCTGGCCTTTGACCTCAAGGTCATCTGTGAGTAAAAAAAAAAAACCTTACTTTGACCTATAGCAGCTGGGCTTTGTTGTCGTAAGCAACAAGTTTCGAAATAACTCTGAGCAGAAAGTGACTTGTGCCTTATCTGTGTCTTCAGATGGTCCATGGAACACAACCATCTCTGGTCCAACTGTAGGAGCTATCGAACATAATGTGACCTTCAACTGCTCTGCTAACTCTTACCCACCAAGTCAATACAGTTGGTTTTTAAACAGCTCAAAGGTGGGTGAGGGTCCAGTGTTTACTAGAGCTCTCTCACTGGATAGTGGCGGACGCTACACATGCATGGCCTCCAATAACATTACAGGCCACAGCAGCAATGCATCACTGGAGTTAACTTTAAGATGTGAGTTGTTAGGCCTTCAAATAATGGATACTGTATGAATAGTTTATCAGTTTTGTATTTCAACAGGCAGTTCTTACGTAGAGTCATATGGAAAGTTCATGTTTTCCTAATAAGGGATAGTTCTGTCATCGTTTCCTCACACAGTCCAAACTTGTATGACTTTCTTTCTTTTCTGCAACGCAATATACAATATTTTGAAGAATGTTTCAGCTGTTTTCTGATCAATCATTATCAGTGGGGTTCTAAACAACCCTGGACTGCATTGAGTTAACTACTTATTACCATAAGTGGGAGTAAATGATGACTGAATTTTCATTTTTGAGTGAACTATTCCTTTAAGTGATGTAATCTGTCTGAATTTTTTTTCCATCTAAATTTTAGATCCAGTCAGCCATGTGATTGTAAATGCGGGGAATCAGCAACCAGTATTCAATCAGTCATTTACACTGACCTGCACTGCTAATGGAGATGTTGAACACATTCAGTGGATGAAGAATGGCATGTTCCTTCATCCTCATAATGGAATCACTTTCTCCAATAACAACTCAACCTTGAGCTTCCAAAATATAAATCTCAGTGATGATGGATATTATCAGTGTGAAGCAAGTAATGCTGTCAGCAACATGACTAGCCTGGCCTATGACCTAATGGTCAACTGTGAGTAACTCAGATATGTTTGTAATACGTCCATTGAATTAGTGTTCATGGGAATCATTTTCAATGTATATGGGATCTTTCAGATGGTCCATGGAACACAACAGTTGAAGGCCCAATCATGGCAGAGATGGGGTCCAATGTGACTTTCAACTGTACTGCCATCTCTCGTCCTCATAGTCAATATAGCTGGTTCCACAACAATTCAAAAGTGGGAGATGGTCCAGTGCATGTGACTGCAGCTCTCTCACTAAACAGTAGTGGACACTACACCTGCATGGCCTTCAATAACATCACAGGCCGCAGCAGCAACGCATCACTGGAGTTAACTGTAATTGGTAAGCTATAACTCCTTACAGTGATGTATTTTCGTCCTTTGAGGATCTTTTTTTAAGCTAATTGTCTTTTCCATCTACATATTTAAAGGGATATGAAAAAGTACATATTGCTTGAATAATAAAGAAATTCTCTGCTAATGTGGTAAATTATACAGGGCATCTTTTTGAAAGATTTCTTCAAAGAACCATCTAATAAGAGTCATTCTTTCTGGGAATCAGGCTACACTGGTCACACTGTATGTTTTTGATTCAGTAAAAGGAATGGGCTTATAAGAATCATTTGTTTCTCGGAATCAGACTACACTGAACAGTTCAATAGTCATTTCTAGATATTATTATGCATTACATGGTATTTTTATGGCTTCACATTCAGTACAGACTGCAAACTAATAACCATTCAAAAGAAGATACATATTGCTTGAATAATAAAGAAATTCTCTGCTAATGTGGTAAATTATACAGGGCATCTTTATGAAAGATTTCTTCAAAGAACCGTCTAATAAGAGCTAGTCGCTCTGTATGTTTTTGCTTCACTAAAAATAACCCAAGAGAACAGTTCCAATAGTCATTTCTAGACATTATTATGCATTACATGGTATTTTTATGGCTTCACATTCAGTACAGACTGCAAACTAATAACCATTCAAAAGAAGATCATTCAAACAAAGATTCATATATAATCACACTACCTACCACAATGTGAGGGACTAGTCTAATATTCTGTACACTCCACAGAACCCATTGCGACAGTGGACGTGATCCCCGATCGCACTATTCCTCTGGCTTCCCAAATCTTTCATCTCACCTGTAATGTGAAGGGACCCTACAACACACTCCACTGGCTTCGAAACAACCAGAATCTCCATCCATCAGACAGAGTTACATTCTCAGCAGATAACGCCATTGTGACCTTCAAAACCTTGCAGACCGCTGACGACGGGAGATACCAGTGCGTCGCTTCAAACGCATTGAAACAGCATGTCAGTCGCCCATATGATCTTACGGTCATCTGTGAGTAATATAAAACATGTTTAAATTACTTCGATATATATATCTGACTTCAAAATGCTTTTTATTTTGCATGAACTAAAGCTCTGTGTGTTTATTGGGCAGTTGGACCACAGAGTGTGCAGATCATTGTACGCCCTGGGATTCCCCCCATCCTGACATGTCTAGCAGTGTCTCAGCCGCCAGCTGTGTATCACTGGATCTTCGAAAACAACACAGTAGTGGGAAATCAATCTTCCGTAGAACTTCCCATTAAGTCTATCTTGGGCAGCAATTACACCTGTGTGGCCAAAAACCCTTTGACCAATGTGACAGTCTACACCAGCCAAGTCGTCAGTTGTGAGCATTAGCCCAAATTCACACACAGCAGTTAACATGCAAAATAAAAGCTAACTGATTGTCAGAGAATGCATTTTCTTGCTGCGTTTTTTGAAGTAACCTAATAAGGGATCATCTCCCCTGTCTTTTCCCCAGACCCCAATGCTGCTGTCAGTGTCCAGGCGTGTGTGATGTTGACGGCTCTCCTCGCTCTGCTGCTCCCTGTGCTGGAAGAATGGCTCTAATACTAATATTGCTGTGAACATGGCATCTGTCTTTGAGGCCTTTATGTAGACTGAATGAGGCTTGTGGTCAAATTTAACACTTAAAAACAGCAAGAATAAAATCACACTGGCAAGATCATGCAGCCCAGATTAGTTTAGTTAATTTTAAAACACATTTAAACATTATTCAAAGACAGGTATGACCATTTATTAACAGAACACTCTTTTGGCAAATACAAAGTAAAAAAAAAAAAGGATTACATTTTAATAGTCATACATTTTAATTAAACATAATACATTATTTACCTATATATTTATTTTCTGAATACTATATATTTGGTGCATTTATTACTATCATTAATTGGACAGTAATTTTGCACATGAATGCTATATTGATAGAGGCTGGATTATTTTCTGATTTGTAGCTTTGGTTTTAAGTCTCTTATCTGGAAAAGCTGACATGCACCAAATTCAGGCAAATATAGGCAAATTACATATCCAAATGATCAGTTATCCAAATTACATTTCTGTTTGCTTCACAAATGTGTCTTATATTTCACAATCATGAAATCTTTTTCTATGGAAATATTATATGCCTTCTGTGTGATTATTTCCAAATTATAAATGTATTCTGCAATTATTTAAAAGATAAAAAATGTAAAATGTTTTATATTTTATTTATAAAACTAAATAAAAGCAAATTATTCAAATTAATTTCTCTCATCATCATCATGCTTTATTTTTAAACGCACTTGCATTTCTTTTTCCAATGTGCAATTTTTTTTTTCCAATTGTAAAATCTGAATGAAGAACATTGAATAGAATAAATGTTATTGAATATAAGAGATACAAAAATAGTTCAGTATACACTACTTAAGATATGGTTTGATAAGTACGTTTAAAATTGTGGGGGCGTTTAGTTTGTGAGTATAGTGACTGTGAATTAGATCGGCATACTGATGCCTTTTTTCTCCTTCCTGTTGCCTCTAGTCAACTGTTGGCATTTTTTATATGGCGAAGTCCCCTTCTTTGGGCACAAAGGTCTCTGCTCTTTGTTGAGGATTCCTGAAAATAAAACAAAAAGATGTATGTATATGTACAGTATGTGTGTATAAATTATAACTGCAAGAAAAGCTAGTAATTTTTTTTGCTTTCTTTTGACTCAGAGTTTCATGACCTGCTATGTTTAACATAACAGACAACATGGGCTGAGTAAATACAGGTTGCATGACTCACTATATTGACGTTGCAGCTCACAGGGACAGTAGTTCTGCTCCAGTGCATTTCTTCTCCCTATAGAAAACAACATGTCAATCAAAATGAGAAGGGCTCTTTTATTTTACACAATAAATACTTTTAAAAAGACTACAACGTACTACATTTGGGCAGTACACACTGTCATGGAAAATTTCTGAACCAAAACCTACATCATCACACTTTAAGCACAACAAGAGACACTTTACTACTGCAGCACATAAAATAAAGTACAGAATCACAAGGATTGTCAGTAAAGGTTTGTTAAGGTATAAGACAATTCAAGAGATTTGGGGCTCCTAGTATTGTTGTGACTCATCAAAACGTCATTTTTAAATCATTTGATACAATGGTGAACTCTCTCGTGGAGGTTTCAAAAAATTCAACTTTTTGTAACCTTTTGCACAGAGAAAGAGTACTATCATCCCTTACCAGTACAGTTACATGTCTTGCCCTGTTGCTTGGATTTGACCACTGGAGATTTATCTGAATCTCCAAACTGAGGTTGTGCTGCAACAAATAAGAAACATCAAAACTTCATGTAAATCATACATTTAAGTTAGAATCATGAATTTTAATTACTTTTAAATACAATTTTTGAAATGTATTAGGCTATATTACAAAATTTAACAGTAATATAACATGTAAAATGTTGGTTCGTAATATGACATAGCATAACAAAATAGCACAGCATAAAAACAAAAAACAAATACACAATATCAGAAAATGACATACGGTGTAAATGCGTTTATATCAATTTATAAAGGTTTTTTACCTTGACAGTGGATGTTAGTGGCAATCACCACAGCAAAGACCAGCAGAAGTGCCTGGAAGTTCATCGTTATCACCAGAGCTTAGTCAGAAAATGAGAACCGTTGAATGAAGAATGCTTTGAGACTTTGAGACTCCTGCTTGTGCTTTTCAAGAGAACTCTGTATTCCAATCTAGGGTTACACAGTATTTATATGACAAAGCTCTGATTTCTGGGGCTCAAAAACAATGTCTGATTATGCCACAACATGTTGGATAGAATTTTAGAAATGAAGTGTGAATAAAATGTTGACAGCTTATCTCTTTTGCTGGGAACTGCCAAGATTTGTGATGAGGACTGCATGCAATTTGGGAAAAGAAAGCCATTATTTAGCCTTCTTTGTAATTCAAACTTTGATGACCCCTCACAGATTTATTTATTTATTTTATCACATTTATAATATATATTCAGTTCAAAGGAGACCTATTTGGTCAGGTGCCAACTGTTCTGCATTTGAGTGTTTTATGGGAATCCGTAGTTCAGGTTTCACCTTCAACCTTAGAAGAAATAAATCGTCCCTTCTCTATATAATATGCAGTTACTGCTGCGGCAACAGTAATATGTCATGTTAGAAACATGATGGATGTTTTTGTGAACAAGAAGACCCTGGGTCAAGCTTGATCAGGACCAAAAAAAATTCCTTAACAGCTAAATGATATCAAGCATGCACCCCATAATCAATCTTGTATTCACTCAAGATTCACTAAACTGAAAAGACATGCTGGTCTCACTAAAAGCATTTTATAACTGCTGAACGAAAATGGGGAAAACATCTTGTCTTGGTGAAGAGTTCTGACCTCAACCCAACTGAGATACCTTGGCATCACTAAGAATATGGCTGAAATTAAACCGTTTTATAAAGAAGAATGGTGCAAAATTCCCCAGGACTGCTATGCAGGTATGATTCACATTTGAAGAAAAACATGGAGGTTTTGATATAAAACCGTGTTGCGTGTTAAGCAAACTGTGAATATCAGTTCAAAGTTACGCAGAAATATCAGTGTCTTGAAGTGAGCTTTCAGATCAGATGGAAGAGAAGAGAAATTGTAAGATGGAAGAGAAATTGGATTCTACCTGTAAATCTACCTGTCGCATTCTGACATAAGACATATTGTGCTAGACATTTGAGCAAATAAAAGTTCTAAAGCACACATGGGTTGTCTCGAAACTCACTGATTTACAGATATCTGGAACTGTAATTCCATCCTTAACAGCCTGAATCACTCAGCATGATGTGTCACTTGACACTCTTTTGTGCACACCATAACATGTCCCAGCCAAGTGTTTTGCAATGCTTATCAGATTGTAGGTGCCAAGAGATATTTAACATTATTTGTGCAGTGACACTATATCAACTGACTTCAATTCATACAGCTCAAGAAGACCCGTCAGTGTCAGACTGACAGTAACTGAAGCATGTTTTCTGAATGTGACCTTAATCACATGGATACACAAATGATTAAAGTAATCTATGAGCACATTTTTAATATCTAAAATTAATTCATCTTGATTTTTTATGGCTAGTTCAGGCTGTAAAATGTCATGACCCCAAACAACTATATACAAATTGTTTTTTAAAAATTAAATTGATCAGTCATAGTAAAGACATAATTTTACAATTTCTACACTCTACAAAATGCTGGGTTAAAAAGGGACAAACCCAGCGGTTGGGTTGTTTTGAGTCAAAACAACCCAATAGCTGCGTTTGTCCCTGTTTAACCCAGCATTTTTTAGAGTGTATTTCAAATATAATTTTTTCAAACATTCAACAAAGAATCCAGAAATGTAAAACATAATGATCAGTTTTCACAAAAATAGCAGCACAACTGTTTTCAACATTGATAGAAACATCAGAATGATTTCTGAAGGATCATGTGACACTGAAGACTGAAGTAATGGCTGCTGAAAATTCAGCTTTTCCATTACAGGAATAAATGACATTTTAATTACAATATTGCTGTTTTTTATTATTAAAAAATAAATAAATGCAGCCTTGGTGAGCTTAAAAGGTGTCTTTTTAAAACATTTTTAAAAAATCCTACTAACCACAAATTTTTGAACGATAGTTAATATTTCAAATCTTTAAAAAATATATATTTTCAGATCTACATAAACTAAACATTACAAAAGAACATTTAAAATAACTACAAAGAAATCCAAAACAGCACATCTGACAGGTTTTCCATGATAATTGTTTATTGCAGCACCAGGCATGACATCTAAACCTCAGACTAGAATCTCAACAAGTCATGAGGAAATGCAATTCCTGGAATCTCCCAAGGCTACTAGAAGATAACAATGTTCACAAAAACCCCTCAGACAAATCAGCACAAACACAAACACCAGGACAAAGCAGCAGCAGAATCATCATACACCGCAACATTTAATCATATTCTTCACCATTTGAAAGGGATGGTTTGTTGGTTGTAATACAACAATACAATTCAACTGTAATACCATTAAAATAAAACCATTGATCGGCTCCTTATGATTTAAATTCTCTGCTTATTAGAAACTGAGCTATGCACAGACCATCCAAAGCCCATTCCATGTGTTATAAGATTTTAGGATTTCATCCACACTGTAAATTTTTTAGATACCCCGGTGCATAAAGTTCATATAATTCATCACTCACTGGAACATAACACAAAATTAACAGTAAAAATATAAAGTAGACATATACGTGGGAGAAAATTACAAAAATAACAAAAATACTGTACAAAATAACCGAAACACTAATTCAGTGTTTATCACAAAGCGTCTAAAACATTACATCTGACGGAATCATTTTAATGGTACGTAACTTTGTGTAAAGCACCTACCCTTTTCTCAGAAAAGAGCCTGTGGGCATATACTGTGGGAGAAACCAAATTAACACATATTGTTCCTTTCAACAAATAAACGAGCAGTTGTCAACATCTGAAGGGCTACACTGCATGCTTTCGGGAAAACTGCTGTTTCCTACACAAGGATCACAAGAAATTCTTCAGCAATCAAACCACGACAGCAGCACACAGCCCTTATGTACACTTCAACAACCATTACTCATCAGAGGTCATCGTGAATGTACTAACCATTTTATGTAAAGAGAATAAATCTGACAGAATTTAAAGGAATAGTTGACCCAAAAATAAAATTCTGTTTTTATTTACTCACCCTCATGTCATTCTAAACCTGTATGACTATTTATTCTATGAAACACAGAAGAAAATGCATTTTGGGACAAAAATAGATGAATCATAGAATGATTGGAACCACATGAAGAATGACAACACCATTTTTTATTTTTGGATGAACTATGCCGTTAAGCTGGTTCTCAACGAACAATAAAATAAATTTTTGTAGTAACAAGGAAGCAGCAATGCATATTGACAGAAAGCATGTAATATATATATATATATGAGTTTGTGTCTATTAAATAGTCATTAGTTTTCCTGAGGGTGTTTATATCTCAATAATGCCCTAATTGTAGAGCATAAAGGATGAAACATCCGTTCACGTGCAGGAAAGGGTGTATGCTGTACTGTATTTTGTTTTGCGTTCAGGGAGCATGTTTATCTAACAGGGATTTGATGCGTTCATGTAAGGGCTGGCACACCCTCTGGTAGGCCTGCGGCGTGAGGTGCAGATAATCATACATGTCCTGATGTGCGATGGAACCATCTGAGTGAATGAACACAGGGTCCACGTCCAGAAAGGAGACATGAGACAGAGACGCTACCTCAGCCTGAACTACAGCATTCACACTCGCGTTACGCTCGCGAAGAGGGTTTGGACTTTTACCTCTCGGCAGCAACCCCTAGTGGAGAGGAAAGAAAGAGTATTACATTCCATTCTAGCCAACAAGTCTGATGAAAAAGCATTATAACAGTCTGAGATAACGACTGAGATACTACAGTTTTTATATGTCATGAAAGATACTTTGATAATGGAGAAAAAAGGGGGGTTTCTATTTAAAACAACAGCTAAACTGATAATAAAAGGTCAAAATTAATATATAATGAATATACACTACCATTCAATCGTTGGAGGTCAGTAAGACATTTCTTTAGAAATAATGTTTTTGAAACAAGTCTTTTGTTCACCAAGGCTGCAATTTATTTGATCATAAACACAGTAAAAACTGTAATATTGTGAAATATTATTACAATTTAAAATGTATTATAAAATGTTAGAATATTTATTCCTGTGATGGCAAAGCTAAATTTTCAGCAGCCGTAACTCCAGTCTTCAGCGTCACATGATCTTTCATTATAATATATGCTGATATGCTGCTCAAGGAACATTTCTTAGCATTATCAATGTTGACAACAGCTGTGCTGTTAAATATTGTTGTTGAAACTGTGATACATTTTTTTCAGGATTTTTGATGAATAGAAAGTTCAAATGAACAGCACATTTTTGAAACAATAAAGACTTTTATAATGCTACAAAGTATTTCTGTCACTTTTGAACAATTTAATGCATCCTTGCTGAATAAAAGCATTAATTTCTAAAAGAAAAAAAAAATATTATAATATATATATATATATATATATATATTACAGACCCCAAACTTTTGAACAGTAGTGTGCATTATAGTAAATGTGATTAATTCTTTCATTTATATGATGAAATTATTTGAATTATTTTAAAATAATAATATATTGTATAATTTTTTATCCCCTTACATTTTTTAAAAGGTATTCTGTTGCCCAATTCTCTGCTGGTCAAGTCACAATCGCTATGAACATGGCACTTTGACTTTGACAATACTGGTATGATGAATTTAATTAAAAATTACATTATTTTAAAGAATTAAACAATATTGTGACAGAGAGGTAGGAGCTGAGATAACTAACCAATACAAGAGTGTGAGCATGAGGCAGTTTCTGATGGATCACATTGATGATGGCCATGATGCCTCCACAGATCTGTTCTGGGGTGTGACCATGATTATTAGTGCCTACCCACAACACCACCACCTGTATACAAACACACAAAATATTACAATTCTACTTACTCTATTTTTCTACAAGAGGGTCTTCAACATTTGTTTTGTTATTTCCTCTTTAAGATGCCTAAATAGAGTCATTTCATGTCCCAACACAAATAAGGGATCCATACACAAATGATTCACTTCTAAGAATAAATGCATAGATTTACTGTTTATATGTACATAGTTTATCTGGACCGTCTTGTATAAGGTGAAGATACTCCACCTTAATATTTTGAACAGCTTGGTTTTGAACAACACTGGTTTCATTTTGAGAAAAATCTATCAGTTTGTAAAATGAGAAAACCAAACTCTAAGAGTATTTTAAAGAATGATTATTATTTAATTAAAGTAATGTCTTAAGTAATGAGAAATGTAATAACTGGTAAAACTCTTAAATAAAATTAATTAAATCAAATCAACCTTTGGGTTGATGTAGTCCAGTTCTCCATTTATGAGTCTCCACAATACATGCTGTGTAGCATCCCCACCAACCCCAAAATTCAGAGCATGGAGAGGAGAAAACAGTTTTCGCCAAACCTGCCAACAAACACAAAAACTAATTTTACACAAAAACACATAAATATGTGTGCAGTCACTGATATGAATGACAGATATGAAGAATGAAGAAGGAGATGCAGATACTTTGCTATACCTCAAACTCATGCAGAAGCTGGACAAGTGAATCTCCAACAAACAGAACATCCGGCTCTTTTCCTTTACTGTCTGATACAAATCGATTGTGCTGCAAGATGAGAACACATAAAAATGCTATTAAGACTCCCTTTGCATATTAGAGAAGGTACTGGCTAAGTGTTTAAAACAAAGTAATATATAAGCAGCCTAATAGGGACACTAAGGTTGTAAATATATTATTATACAAAAGAAGCACCAATGACATCCATCGACCATCTCCCTGTATGTCCTGACAGGGAGTGGGTGAGGCTGCAGGGTTAGAATCTTCACTCATCACTTCCTGAGGAGAGACATAGAGGGACATGACAGGTTACATGTTCTCCAAAAGCGTTTAACATGGATCCTCATATTAGACCGTTTAATTCAATTTAAACATTTTGAGTACAACGTTGTGTTTTAAGCATACAAAATATTAAAATTCATGATGACCTTTTGACAAGTACTGTAGTTTATGTACTTTGTACGCATCCTATGAAAACCACAAATACAGTAACGTTATTTTTTTTCACAGCTGAATTAGTTTGTTTGGTGCAATTTTTGGATGACGTCTGCATTGCAGTTAACCTCACAAACAAGTTGGTGCCAAATTAATATCTTATAAATAATAACTGGAAGTTTTAATATGTATAAAAATTAACTTTCTCTAACGTTCTCCTTACTGCAGTTTACTGTGCAGCTCCCACGGCTAATGTAACGTTAGCACTTAGCATGCAGACACCTTCCATTTAGAACAGCAAGGCCCAATGCGTAACATCATACTTTTGCATATAAGTATATATAATACATGTTAACACTTATGTCGATTCTTATTAATAAAAGACTCGTTACCAATAAGTGTTACCACAGCAGAGCTCTGTGTTCAATCGGTCAGCCAGCGGTCTGCTACTGCCAAACCCCGGAAGCTGGAATATCGAACCAGGCATTACTAGAAGATCGGCGATAACGGTCGATCTATAAAATAACATTATACGTTATAAACGCGAAAAGGTTAATTAAATCTCTTTCGTTTTTGATTTACGTAAAACATTCAAACATTACTTAATACCAATCCTCTTGACCGTAGTTTTTTTCTTCTTCGCAGAGATCTGCGTTTGACGTCCATCTTTGACGCACGTTGCCAAGCAACGGAAAAGTAAAACTTAACGGCCTTTGAACTTCAATTACATGCCGATTGTATTTGATGATTTGATATATGTATATATATTTGACAATGAAGAAAATATTTCAGTTTGAACACAAAGAATGCTGTTCATTTGAGGTATGTTGCTAAATGTTGCCATATGGTGAACCTAAAAGTGCTATGGGTAACCACAATAAGTATGAGATTGTTAATTTAGACTATTTAACTGGATTATAAATGCATTACAAACAAATTTTTTGTATTTTAATAACTTGTGTTTAATAGTCTTAACATGAAGATGAGCCACCAATCCAGCAAAAGCTTTCCACTTAAACATAACTTGCCGAAGACATTCAATGACCGTCACAGTAGCACAGCCAAGTCTTCATGTCATACACCCAATGCTGCCTATACCGGCAAATCAGTGAGCTCTAGCAGCATAAAAACAGATGTGCAATGCAACTCGTCACATAATGCGAGGCGTCTTAAAACCAGGAAGGAGAGAAATCAGATTCGAGGTCTGGAGAGAAACAGGTATCGCCCATGTTCTCAGCACAGCAGAAGAGAAGGCGGTGAGAAAGCACATCATCCACTGTCATGTTCTAGAAAAGAGAGGGCATTCACTATGCCATTCATACCCCAGAAGCCAAGCATCATAACTGAAGGACGCCTTACTTCCATCCGAGGTGTTTTCAGCCATGAGATTAGGTCCATAGATATTGAGAGGCTGGTGAGCGAGCAAACAAAGAGAGACAAGCAGAGAAAAGAGCAAAGAAAACAGTCTGTGATGCACATTACATCACCGATGCCTCCCTCTGTACCTGATTCAGACCTGGACGGCACTCTCTATGAAGTACAGGAACCTCTCCAGGAACCAGAAAATAATACGCCTCCACAAAAGTGCAGGAAGAAAAGTGCAAGAAATGAGGAAAAAAACTGTGTTTTTCATACTAATAGAGGAGTTGTGTTTATGCGACCATCTAGAGAAGATGGGAAGCATGACAGAAATGCCAACACCAGAAAGGAAGATACAAAAAGCAAAACAAGGCAAGATAGTCTGAGTAGGCCCCCTAGAGAAACCGAACATGTGGTTTTGTCATCCTCAGAAAATGAACCGGTTCACCAGTTATGCTCTACTCCATCTGAAACTAAGAATAACTCTGATGTTTTACAAACAGGCAATCTCAAGTCCCATGATGAAGGAAACCAAGAAAATGCTTTTATGAATATTCAGAGATTTGAGAAAAACTCTACAACAGTGGGATTCCCAAACATGGAAGTTACTCAAATGTTCGAGACTTTAACCTCTCTATCTGACCTGGACTCTGGGGCTGGTCAAGTAGGGGACAATGTTGAGCAAAGAGAACAAATGTCAGTCTCATGTAGGGAAGCACTGAAAAGGCTCGCGACACGTTTGTGCAAGAGTTCAGAGCTCCGTGTGCCAAGCCGTCAACAGCCCCTGCTGGCCGAGTGTAGAGAGGCGCTACTACAGACTTTACAAAAAAGACACAGTTTTCAATTAGATCACAACCTGCACAGGTTACATTCATTCTTAAATGGGAATCAGATGGCTTCTCAGCTGAACTCAGGACAGAGAGATGAAGATTGTTCACCTTTTAGCCATGCAGTGGAGAATGAGGATATGTGTTATAGCAGGAACATGGTGATATGGACAGGTATGTCACTCTTTTACATTTGTAAAAAAAAAAAAAAAATGTCCAAGACAAACAGAAGAGAATTCATTTAGAAAAACAGTTTAAAATGCATGTGACAAATTCCTTGATGGCTTAAAAAACTACTATTTTTAATAACATTTTAAATTTAAAGCTACAGTCATTCCTATAGTTCGTGCAGTAGAGCATGATGTAAACAACGGCAAGGATTCCCAGGGAATGCAAAAAATATATACCTTGATAATAATGATAACAATGTAATCACTTTGGATAAAGAGTATTTGACAAATGAATAACTGAAAATGTAATGTCTTTAAAAATGTCATGGTGTAACCATCAAGTAATAACATACATTTTCCTCACACTTTGAATACATGTGAGTGTACACATCTTGATTTTCAAAAAACTTAAAATAATAAAAGATTATGCCAAACTATTCTGTAGTTTTTTGTATTGTATCAGGACAGTTGTATTACCCATTTTTGACTTAATGCACTCCAAAAATAACAAAATTAATTTTAATTTAGAAATTAAAAATATGCTTATCGTTATTCAAATCGTTGTATTTACAAACTGGATTTTTATATCCTGACAAAAAATAATAATAATAATTTTTTTTTAAAATATTGCACCGTGCCATTGACCATTGTTTCATATATAGTTGTGTACATGTTTTAAGTTACCTTTCTGTATCCTAGACAGTGCCATGCAACAAGATTACTCAGCACAGGAAGTTAAGCAGGACTTGGATAGACGAGCTTTCACCAAGAAACGGATACAAGAGTGGAAGACATCGTCCACTCTCTTCTCCCTTGAAGAACCACGACAATCACACACTGACATGGTGAGTAATGAAGTAAAGAATCAAATCCAAATAAAACAGGTAGTTGTAAACTAGACTATTACAGAGGTTAAAAGTTCAGGACTGTATGGCTATTTTGCATGTGAATTTGATTGGTTAGTCTTTGCAGTTTGACCAGTGGAGGGCAGCTGGGTTGTCTCAGGATTGCTTCAGAGCTCAGCAACATCACAGCAGACGACTCTTTAACCAGGAACAGACCTTTACCCAGCATGCCGTCCCTATACTCAGAAGCCCCACCTGGGTTGATCATCCTGTAAACTCTTATTCTCAGCAGCAGCCACTAAGCAGAGTGGAAAGTTTGAAAAATGTGGATTTAGATCTCTCTAGAATCTCTCAACAGTGGAGGGAAGACAGAGGTCTTGATTTGAGTTCATATCACATATATGAGAGCAGAAAACAAAAACCACAAGCATCTTTTGGAGGATCCAGATTCTGGTCCCATCAGCAGCAAGTTCAGGATGAAAAAGAAAGATGGGCTCCCTTGTCATTCTCAGCATCCTGTCTCTCTGAGGGCTTTCAGTACAAGCTTTTTTTTAATACTTTTTTTTTTTAAAGACCATTACCTCTACATTAGATTTGAATTTGAGGGTCCAGTGTGCTCAAATTATGTACAGTCATGATTTCTTTGGTGAATTGGTATATACTGGTAACACAGGTATTAAGAGTGAATGAAATTTCTTAAAAACAAATCACTCTTTGTGCTGCACACATATTAAAAGCACCACACATTAGTTATCGTTTATTTTTCTGAATTAATATGGTAAATGTTTGTTCACAATGATGCTGATTGGTTATTTATTTATTTGATTATTATTATTATTTTTATTATTATTTTTTAGTCAGATTTCTTCTATATATCTTGACTGGACTTTTATCATTAAGTTCAGTATTCTGTAGTAAAAAAAAAAAAAGATGCATATGATTTTGTGATATTCTTTAATAAAGCAGTACAAAATTACAAAACTTTACATCAAACCGATTTAACAATTTACATTTATATTTGGTAAAATATATTGTAGTAAACTGAATTCAACTTTGTAGTACTCGTGTGAAGGTAAACAGATCACAGCTATTTTACCTGTTGAATTTGTATGTATGTATATATTCATTTATGTATTTATTTAATTTTTATTAAATTTGACCATAAATGCCTAATTAAAATTTAAAATGGCTTCCAGTGAGTTTGTATCTTTTCCATTATTATTTTTGACATGTTTGCAAGCCTGCAGAATTTACAGCCTTTTAATTTACTTTTATTGAAGTTCATTAAATTTGTTCTTGTATTGTACAGATTCAATGTGGTCTTCATTGTAATCAGGGCATCAGGTAATATACTTCATCATCTGTTGGTGTCTGATTCACACAATATTCTCTTTCCTCCTTGTCCGTACCCTCTTTGTCTCGTCTCCTCTGATCATTCTGCTCCTTCATCTTCTGCTCCTCTTGGCTTCCAGTGTTGCTGCTCCTTAGTGCTCTCTTTAACTGATTCCAGAACAGTTCTTTTGCACTGTTTGGATCTGAACAGTTTGGCCCAGGCCACTGCAAATAAGTCTTTTTGAGCATGACCTTCCTCATACGGTGATAAGTGGACAGTTGCCGCTCAGGGATAGGCTCCAGAAAAACCAGCAAAAGCACATCCTGCATTTCTTGAAAGAGACGATAGCTGGCCAACTGGATCTCCAGTGAGCACCATTCACTGCGAAGGAAGCTCTGACTGACCACACAGATCGTTTTGCGACTGCCGTATACGGCAGCCACAATGTTGTCAACAATATCGCGGCCTAACTCAAAATCTCTGTGGTGGAGGCAGAGCCGAAATGAAGAACCCTCAAGGTTTGGCAGCAGCTGTTCCATTACCCAATCTTCATCTGCTGAGTTGTAGGAAACGAAGGCATCGTACTTGTATTTCTCCTCCTGGTCCCTTAAACGGCGCCACTGTTCTCCAAACCATGATCGAAACACATAGTAGCCATACTTAAATTTCCAGTAAAGTCTGACATAGAGAAGTGGTATCAAGCTAAGTAAGATTGTGAATGTAAACGTTGAGGAAAACAGGTAGAGTGCTATGTCTAAATAACACACATTAGTGTCGAAGTTGTGAAAAAACGAGCCTGGATGGTCTTGGCATGTAATATTGAAAAGATAAGGAAACTGGAGTCTCTTACTGCTTAAGGTCCAGTTCTGTAGTTCACTATTCTGGCAGCCACAACTGAGAGGACAGCTGCGCAAGTCAACGTATGTTAGATTGGTCAGATTGTCCAGTAAACTGATGTCCAAAGACATCATGGCATTGCGATTGAGATGTAGTTGCTTCAGTCCTGTGAGATTTCCAAAGACCTCTTTAGAAAATGATGTAATGCCCATGTTCTCAGTGGATAAAATCTTTAATTTTCGAAGGTTTTTGAAAATACCAGGTTTGAGCTGGGCGATCCCAACACATGAGTTAAGAACTCCAAGCTTTTCAGGTCATCAAATGTTTCTGCACCGAATCCAATGATATGGTTGTTAGTGAGGTAAAGCCTTTTCAGAGAAGTTAGACCACGGAAAAATGCACGTGGCAACAAGTTTATGCCATTTGGTTCCTGTGCATCAAGTTTCAGATCAAGAAGCCTTGACATGTTTATAAATGGTGAGTATGTATGTTCTGTAAAGTACATGATGTAGTTAGCCTGTAAATCCAGCACCTGCAGGGTGGCATGAAGTTTTCCAAAGAGCATGCGGTCAATCATTTTCAGACGATTTCTATCTAAATACAGATTGGCCAAGCTTTCCAGCCCATCAAATGCATGTGGCTTCATCTGCGTGATCTTGTTCCCCCCTAAATCTAAAATCATTAAATTTGACAGATTTTGAAGGGTATAGTTGAAAATCACAGCTATTTGGTTGTTGCGCAGGTTGAGAGTTTTCAGGCTGGTAAGATCTTCAAAGGTGTCATTGTAGATATCGGTCAAAAGATTGTTGTCGAGACGAAGTGTGACGAGATCTTTGAGTCCACTTAAGGCTTTATGGTCCAAATAGGCAATTATGTTTATGTTTAGCTCAAGGTTTGTTAATTTTGGTGTATTACTGAAGGCATAACCATTAACCTGTTGAATACGATTGTATCGATAGCTCAGGCTTTTCAAGCTGTAGACCTTTTTAAATTTTTTGCAGGACATTAGATTGGTCAGATGGTTATGTTCAATCTTGAGAGTTTCCAGTTGTTTCTGACAGTGCAGAAACTGCAAGCAGCCTGTGGTTTTCATATTGTTCCGTGAGAGGTCTATTACATCAGTGATATTGGAGCAATTACAAAATGTGTTTTTGTTTAGAACTCTGATGGCATTGCTCTGGAGTATCATTTTAGGTATTTGATGATCGCGCAGATGAAAACACAGCGAAGTCAGAGCATGATCCTTCAGATTCAAACCAGAGAAGTCGATGTGCCTTGGTTGTATATTGGTATAATTAAGAAGCTTCCTAGCGGAGACTTTGGTAAAGCGCAAGCGTAGGTACTTTATATACTCCAGATTCAGGCCCTGAAAAGTCTTGGATGACAGTAATGTGTTGTCTGATAAATCTAGAACTTTCACATACTTTAGGAAAGACTTGTCACATCCCAGTTTGTGTAGTTTATTATCGCTGAGGTAGAGTTTGGCAAGCGAGTTTGGCAGACGGGTGGAGTGATGCAGGGTGGTTAGCTTGTTAAAAGAAAGATCCAGTTGTATCAAGCTGGACAGGTTTGTTATACATTCAACCAAAGCTGAAAAGTTTTTCAGGTGGTTCCTGCGTAGGTCAAGAATCTTGAGGTTTGTCAAATTGGAAAACAGGAACATATCAATATTAGTGAGATTATTGTTTCCCAGGAGCATCTCTGTGAGGTTATGTAGGTCACTGAAGACATCACGGTGGAGAGATGATATGTAATTGCAGGACAGGTTTAAAGTCTGAAGTTTTTGCAGGTTATTAAAAGCATCTTTGTGGATGTTAACAATATGGTTAGCGTCTAGTACCAGAGAAGTCAGACTGGACAGATGATGGAAGCTTTGGCCTTGAATGTATGCAATGTTATTCCGAGAAACTGTAAGGTTTGTTGCAGTGGGAAATACATCGCTCACAACTGTAGTTATGTCTGTTTCATGACATTTAATACATCTGAAGATTTTATGGTTAGAATCAGGGATCTCTATGCAACTCCTGAAACTGTAGCTGAAGGCAAGTTTAAGAAGGCAGATGAATATTGCCTTTATGATCAGTTCACGACATGCCGAATCTGCCATATTTTTCAATTCCACTTTAAAATGGAACTCCCACTGACTGCCTTCATCAAAGTCCAACACTATGAGGTTCTTCACTCAGTGTGAGCAGCACCTAATACTGAGAGCTTAATACAGCCAGCTGCTAGAAAAAAGAGGGAAAGGTTATAATCAGTTTAAATTGGAAATAAACTGTTATTATATACTAATCCATAATGCTACTAGTCAAATTTACATTTTATTTTCTCTTCAAATGTAACAAATACAGCAAGAACTTATGGATGTTTTATTTATTTATTATGAAATTTATAAAATCACTTCAAAGATTATGGATTGGAAGTATCCAGTTTATATGAATACATGCAGGGCAACAGATACAAAAACATCCCACAATTACAAAACTCAGAAACAAACTTCTCTAATGTACTCTCACATGACCTGTCTCAACTGCCAATTTCCCACTTCTCAGACCCCTTTTCCCTTTTATTCTATTTACATTAAAAATGTATCTTCCCAATACTGACATACATGTACAAAGGCATAAAACCTGTCACTGTGAACAAAGTAGACAGATATGTCACATTATGCTTTCTAGTGTTAACAGGTAATCTCAGATTCACTAATTTGAAACCAGTGAGCAAATCTATATAGCCTGAAATCCTATCTTTCATTAATTCATTTCATTACATTGACTATTCTGTTTAAAAACAGTCTCTAGATTTAAGCGCCAACATGATTCAATAGCTTACCTTCATGAAATCGTCCCTGATAATTTTGCAAGACTATGATAGGCGTTCTCTCTCTTTTAAACAGGACATTCCCCTCACAGGAATAGAAAGAGGAACCAAAAAGGTTTCAAGCCAACGCAAATAAGATCAGACAATGGGCCACAATGCCTGATCCAATTGTTTTGATTCATTATTCAGAGAAATCTTGAATACTTTCTTTAAACAAAATATATATAATAATCATAATCACATCATATCATCATCACCATCATTATATATATATATAGCCCTAATTTGGGGTCGGCAGTTGGAAGATATTTAACTGTGAAATGACAACCCATTAAACTAAGGCAAAAAAATAGGAGTTGATTCATAATGTAAAACCTATTAGTAACATGATTTTACATACATATAGTTGAAGGATAACATAAAGCATTGATATTTTTGAATAAAACAAAAAAGAAGACGACGAAAACAATTCCAGCCATCGAGGCATTTTTGAAATTAGCCATTCTCTCCTCTTCATTTTCTTTTCAAATTAGCCTCTTGCCTTCTGTTCTCGAGCCATCTGACAGAGTCCACAGAAAGGACAGCAGGTCATAATCACCCAGTCATCACAGACAGAGCCCTAAAGAAGACACAAGCCAATCATGCAGTGCTAGTCTCTGACAGTTATGAAATAATGTATTTCAGCAGAAATTACAACACTACATCAAGAGCAGAAATAAGCAATAATCAATACTGAAAAGGATTTTTATTGCATGGCCTACATTAATACGATATCTGTCACGGATGCTGGTTCTCAATGCAATCATAGCACCGGGTAGGAAGGGCAAACAGCAGCTGTCACCATTATCCTGTGCCACCTTACAACCCAAAATGCAAGGAATAAACGCCCCACACAGACCTGAGGAGTAAACCAGTGTCAAAATTCACACTATTTTACAATGTAAGGCTTGTAAGTTTCAACAAATTGATTAAAGGGATAGTTCATTAGAATTTACTCACCCTCACGTCATTCCAAACCTGTATGGTGAACTACCCCTTTAACAACTTACTCAACTTATAATCACTATTAGTATTGCATCTGGCTTAAGCAAAATGGATTTGCATTAATAAATAAATCTCCCTCCCTACACACACTCACAGATTCCGCAGTCGTCACAACAGTCACAGACATCAGAGCTCCAGTGTGAGACAGTGTAGCTGGTTACAGTCATTTGAGGCTGGGAAGTCATTGCTTCTGTTTGATATGACATCACTGACAAAAGACACGTAGCAAATGATATAATACAATCATTTGCAATTACAAATTACCAGAGGCGGACAAAGTACTCAACTCCATTACTTGAGTGAAAGTACAGATACTGCTGGTCAAATATTACTCCATTACAAGTAAAAGTTGTAAAGACAGATTTTTACTTAAGTAAAAGTACAGAAGTACTTGCTTTTAAAAGTACTTAAGTACCAAAAGTAAATTTCCTTTTTTATGTCAATGCACATATTTTTTATTGTTGTACGTAATACTTGCAATACCTCTGAAGCAACTTACAATACAGTACACCTACTGAATACACTGATTAGCTTGTATCTTTGGAATAAAGAGCTTTTAAAATGTTAAAAACCTATGGGGGAAAAAAACAAAACAAAAACAAATTATTTAACACCCCCACAGAAGCAGGATGGTAGTGATCTCACACAGCTCTGGACACATCTATGTGTAGCCATTCATCCACATTTGAACAGAATGGACAGTGAAATCCTGTAAATACAAAGTGATAATAATAAAAAAAATAAAAATTCAAACCTGCTTTAAAACCCAGCAACACAACAGTAGCTGTATAATTTTACAACAGAAACACTGCTTTAACAAAAAAGCAAAACAGCAAGACTTATTTGACATCAAAACAAAAACTTTAAATGCTGACTAATCGCTCTCGCTGTACTTTGATGTCACACACAGAACAGTCTGTGCAGTGCTGCTTCAAGTCCAACACCTATTGTGTTTTATTAGGAGACGCACAACAGTTCTTCTGTGGCTTTATAGCTAATATTTTCACATACACAATTTAGCAAAATCAGACAATATTGTGTCTAATATAAACCACAATATTAACTTCTTATTATTGAATTGTTGTAAATAAATATCACATTTGCAACTGGTCAGTGCTCAAAAAATGCTGGGAAATCACTTCATGTAGCCTTACAAGAGTGATTACTGATAAACTGTCTGAAAAAAAAGAAAGTCACATTTTAGAGAAGAAAAAAATCACCCACTGACTAGTAACGACTTTCTACTTCGAGGACCTTGATAGAAATGTAGTGGAGTGAAAAGTACAATATTTGTCTTTCAAATGTAGTGAAGTTAAAGTCATAAGTTCCCAGAAAAAATAATACTCAAGTAAAGTACAGATACTCAAAAAGTGTACTTAAGTACAATACTCAAGTAAATGTACTTAGTTACTGTCCACCTCTGA